GCACGCCTCTGTCGATCACAGCCAGGGTGCCAATAGGAACCTCCCTGCCAGTGCAACTCGTTGTTTTGTAAGCCCCACCACTATCGACTCAGGGCGGCTTCAATAGCCTCGCGCACAAGACAGGCACCATAGCGACGACAGAGCTTAGCCAGAGCTGAGAAGCCGTCGTTACACTGTTTGAATCTGAGGCGCAGGGCCTCTGCCCTTTCGTTAGCAGCACCGGCAGTGGCAGTAGCAGCCCCATCTCGCCAAAGAGAACCTCAAGCCCCGGTCGTGGTGTCCTCGGAATTGCAAGAACTCGGATTGGGGGGGATCCAAAGGTACGGACAAAGGAGCGGCATTTTCCGCGTCGTCTCCATCGTTTGTCTGTCTACGCTGTTTACTAATGCTGATAGCGATCGTCTTCACGACTACTGATGGCACTAACTGGGTCAACCGCAGTAGTGTCAGAGTGGAGGCACGTCTAGGTAGTCAGGAGAAATGGGATCGGCACGGCTGTTGCTGCCACGAGGCAGATGGAGTGGAGGATCCATCCGCGTCGAGCTCGCCTTGATGTTGCTCCGAACGTTTCACCGCCGGAAGTCCCATTGAAGCCCTGAGATGCATTCGGCTGTCTACTGCGATGGCTGCGGGCGCAGCAAGAAGACTGGGCAGAATCGAGGCAGCGTCGGGAAGTCTCTAGCCTCGTTCGGAGGCTATGAGTCGTCCCACCACAGGATGACCAGAACGATGTGGTCACTTTCTCGCCGCTGCTCGTGAGGCCCGCTATCGGTCTTAAGACATCGCATCGGGGGAATTGATGGAGGAACACCATCCCAAGTTGCCATTCAACCGGACCCTCACCCGTCTGCTCACCTATCGTCTGGTTCGCGGCCACCTGAAACGTATGAGAGGATTTCCCTGGGGACCCTGTTGACGGACAAGCACGATACCGGAGTCGGCGTAGTGCTCCGACAACCCCAGTTCAAGGGCAGACGCCACGACATTCTTGGCTGCCCATCACTGCCGTGATCCTGTTCCTGTTCGAACCACGCCCCGAAGAGACCCATGCCGCTGGCGGGCAGATGTGTGACGTACTCCGGTCGAGTGCGTTGCGCATGTCTCGGATGACACGCCTCTGAAGTCGGAGCCGAAGCAAAGGAGCAGACGCCGGCGTCTGAGGGTCAGACACCTTAGATGAAGGCCAACGCCCGGCGCCCTGGTCGGCCCAGCCGCCGCCGGCGATGCGTACTGCTGCGGACTCGGTTGACACTGTTCCTTCCAAGGAGCGCCGGTGACAGCAAGTGCCGCGCCGCGTATCGATCCAGGTGGGCAACAGGATCCTTTCGCGACGACGCTCATTCAGGTGTGTCCCGTTGTGATCCACGGTGATCATCACATAAAAGGCTGCACACCACTGGCCAAGGTCTCACTGATCACCACAGGGGGTCCTTCAGATTGGGAAACGAGATCCTATCCGCAAGGATCGGTGGCCAGTCCCTTGCCCTCTTTTTCAAGGGGGCTCTTAAGGAACCAAGCCGACTCAGTCGATGGGTGGGGAGTTCTCTCTGGTTGAGGGCCGTGAGGTTGCAATCCAGAGAAAAGGTTGCCGTCCGAGCGCCAGGACTCCTGTTGCCGGTTCAAAGTGACGAACGACAGGAGAACGATGAGACGGTTCGAACCTCGCTTACGATAGAGGCCCGACGGTGCGTTTTGGCCATCTGACTAGCAACTCTGACAGCTCAGATCGAGCTGAGCGCCAGTCATGAGCGCTGCCATCGCGTGCACCGCCCCGTAACTAGTCCGAACTCAATGCCGCGTCGCCCTTCTCCCCGGAATGGCGGGACAACGGCAACGGCAGTTTCTGAACAGCGCCAGTGCCGACCATTTCGTTCCAACACTACTGAAACTATTACTCACTCAGGATGGTGTGTAACCTAGAAACCCAACTCAGCCGAAGCGATGCAGGCGAGGGTTCATTTAGCCTCGCATCGAGACCGAAGGGCCCAAATGAGGATGGACACAAGCCTGTCGCTTTGATCCCAGCTTCAGAAAGGGTCACTATGTTATGCTGATGCCGAGTATACGGCGGCAAAACGGGATGAAGAGACGCGGGGCCCTCATCCACCTCGCAGAACCGAAAGACACGAGGCCCGACACGGCGCGGGTTGTCGATTGGGTCCAAGTTCTGCCCAGCACCAAACCTCGACTAGCCCAACTGAGTGATCCCCGTCGAGTTAGCGCCTTGGGTGATCAAGCCCGCTGTCATGTTCGTCGGGGATGGCAGAGCGTCTGCGGATTGACGCAGGATTCCCTAATGCTGCACCCACCATATTGCCATTTCTCGGCGTTGCCGTCCGAATCACAACAACAACATCGTGAGATGTCCACTGACCCTTTATGAACGCACGTCCGGTCCATTTCAGGAAACGAGATGAACGAGGTTTATGCCCAACGCGCTCGAGCGACCCTTGAAGTGACGCAACAACGCTACGACCAAGCCAGCCACGTCCGTGTGTCTGCCCTGGTCTTCCCCCTTAGCGGGAGACCAGTGAGACCGGGAATATGCCTGTCTAGCAGTCTGAAGGTCCCGAGAAACCGTAAGCCAGGGCATCGCTGTCGCGGGAGTCATTGCTGAGCAGGGTGTCCCTATTGCCGCCCACGCCACGCTCCAGACTAGGCACAAGATGGAGTGCGACGCTCTTCACGCCAACAGCTGTGTTCTAGGGCCTGAGCTAGACATGTCAAGGACAACCGGGCGCGCGTGCGGCGAACATGGGAAAAGCAATGCAAGCAACATCCCCGCCGGCTTCGGTCACCGGTCTTCGTTTTCTGCTTCTGGTTCCCTTCTCCCTTTTTCTCCACAACTCCACGACTCTCCACCAGGCCACGTCTCCGACTCCCCCGTCCCATCTCGCCCTCGAGTCGCGGTCGACCTGGCAGGGTGAGTCTCCTCTCAGCACGGGTTCCTGCGTTGCTTTTTGCGGGCGGCGTGGGCTGCGGGAACGGCGATGCAGCACCAAGCCCCAGAGGCATGGACGTACCCTCGTGCATGTTGTTGTTCTTGGTGGTCAGGCCCGTGGATAGTGCGCGAATTGGCACATTCGCTCGGCGGGGAGTATGCTGGCAGCTAAGTCGATGGCATATCGCGGCCTGGGTACTGGGAGATTGCGCACGATGTGACAGCACATCGTCATTGCAATCTCGCAGCGTGACCATCGGCAGGGCCGACTACCACAATAAACAAACTCCCATATCTATGCCTTTGCCAATTTACACTTTCTCCCATCCATGCATGCAAGCACCTACAAATCTGGGGTTAGACCCGCCTATCGCACACGAGCTTTCTACCGTCGATGCGTTGGTCGACGGCTACGGTGAATGTGCAGAGAACAAAGAGAAAGAGCTCGAGGTATGCTTAGCAGACGCTGATATTGACACAACCCCATTGCCTGAGCGCGTGAGGATTGACCCTGCATACTGAGCCGGTGATATGTTTCTCGTCGCAATAGCACCCACCCCCTTGCCGGCGGCCGCCCCTCCTCTGGGATGATCATCGTGCGAAACAACCCTATCTGCAGGAAGTTGACCCCTTACCCTGGGGCACCTCGAACCGGATGTTGCTCGCTCCCGTCTCGCTCGACTCGTGGCTACCATGCAGGAGCTGGAAGGCCGTTGCCAGCCCCGACTTTGCCTTGCTTGTCGCAGATCATCACCAGTTTGTGCCATCCTGCCAAGATCCTGGCAGCAGATGTCTCGTCACTTGGGATGACTGTCATCTTTTGCCAAAAAGCTTATGCAGAGGCCACACGGCAACGAGGCGGGCACGTCTCGTTTCAAAGTCTGCGTCGACATGCGTGAAGGGGGGCGGCGTGACATAGAAATGAACGATCAGCATATCCGTGCCATGGCTCATGACTGGCGCGTCAAAGTCGCGTTGGGTCATGTCTCTCTTGGCTGGTAATTGCTAGGTCCTGTAGGATAGCCTCTCCCTGAGCCCCATAGCAAACGTGCCGGTTCCTTCTCTCGTGGGCCGATTCAGTCGCTGTGCTGCCTGGGTGTGTGAACGAAAATCGCGGCCTGAAACCGATAGACCTGGGGGTAGATCCTCAAGGTCGCATTCTGCCCACACGTCGCGTTTCGTCGCTTGCTCCCTGCTTGGCAGTCGCCTAGTCCGCGCGAGTCGGTATGGAACATCACGAGTCCGCGTTTTTTTAAGCAATTGTGAATAGAGTTTGTGAAGGTTGGTACACTCTTTGGCATTGGTAGGCCCCGTGGCCAGCCTTTCCGGCTCTGTCTGTCTGCGTCTCTCTCTCTCTCCCTCGCTAGCCACAATTTGCCAGGTTCCGCCTAAGGATCTCGTCTCTGTCGACTGAGTCCAGTCTGCCCTCTTTCGATATGATACATATCCCCACATGACCGAGCGTACAAGGAAATCGTTGCTATTCGTAGCAGTGGACGAGACTCGCCTCCAAAGTGAGAGGCCTCGTCGTCCGTCGTAGACAATTTGGGAAATATAGTGGCAAGTGTAATAACAGTAAAGGGAAACAACCAAAACAAATTGAACGCCCGTAAATGCTCCTCCTGCCGGGGTGGTATTCCGAAAAAATAAACCAAAAGCCAACGGGGTCCGAGAATGAGGGGAAATTTCTTCTCGTGCAGCTTCTTTTTTTCCCCCTGCCCACCGGTGACGCTTGCAAGTCCCGCGCCCGCGTTTCGCCTCGGCGGCCATGGGGGGGAAGAAAAACAGACAAAGAGCAACGTGGTCTCTCTTGTTTTGTTCTGGCCCCCCCCCTCCCTTCCCTGCCTGTCCGACCCTGTAAGCCCCTTTGAACGCCGCCCTGGCCATCTCGCGATGGATGATAATGATGATTATATACTTGTGGAGAAATGTCCTCTTCTTTGTTCCGGTGGTCGTAGTCATGATGTCTTGCTCCCGAGCCCCACAGTGCCCACCCCACGGCAGCCCTCCCTGCCGGCCGGGCTCCCGCTTTTCTTCGTCGTCACATCTTCGCGGCCGCTCAGGAGACGGGCGCCGCGCCGTGGCAGCCGCGCTCGTGGCGCTTCATGTTGCTGCGGACGCTGAAGGCCTTGCCGCAGCCGCCGTGCGGGCACTTGAAGGGCTTCTCGCCGGTGTGGGAGTGCGAGTGGATGCGGAGGCTGCTGGGGCGGGAGAAGGCCTTGTTGCACGTCGGGCAGACGTAGCGGTCCTGGCTCTGGGGGAAGCTGGCGGCAGCCGAGGGGGAAATGTAGTGGTGGTGCTGCCACGGGTTGGGGCCGCCGAGCATCGTCGGCGGGGCCACCGAGGGAGGGAACGCCGCGGGCAGGGGCCTCTGGTAGTAGAGGCTGGTGATCTGAGCCTGGGGCGGAGGGTAGAAGGGGACCGGGCCGACGGAGTGGTGGTGGTGCGGTTGCTGATGGTGGGGAGGGAGGTAGGAGGAGGCGGCTGCCGAAGCAGAGGGGTAGTGGGACGAGGCCGGAGGCGGGTAGGGCGTCGTCTGATGGATGGGAAGGCGGGCAGCCGGGGTGTGGGACATGGCGCGCTGGTGTTGGTGGTGGACGTCCTCCAGGGGCGGTGTTGTCTCGTAGTAGTAGTTGTGAGGATGGGGTGCTGAGACGGCGGACATCTGGCTGACCGAGCGAGTTGAGGGCGAGTTGTATCCGTCGAATGAAGCATCGGTGCTCATGGGGGGCGTGGGTGGGAAGTTAGCCCGAGCCTGGGAGTGACTGTTCCCATAGTGAGACGAGCTGGGTCTCGTTTCTGGCTTTGCAGAGACGGCATCTCCTTTGAGAACTGTAGTGGATGGTATCAGAACGTGCTGTTTGTCTAGTGGTGTTGCTGCTCCATCCTTACCTTGTTGGTTTTGAGGATGTGTCTCGCTCGTGGGCGAGCCCTGGTCTGCCAGGCCAAGGAGGTTGGAGATGGAGGGAAGGGAGCACTTGGTTGATTCGTCCATGGGGGGCGATGGTGGAGGTTGAGGAGCGTAGGCGTACTGTGTCGTCGTGGCTCCTTGGGTGTTGCTGATGTAGTGATGCATGATGACCGGCACTGGCGACTTCTCTTGCGTTCCTTGCAGTGATGATCCCAATATCTTTCGTTGTATGGCGTTCGTGAGTAATGTTGCAGTTGCGAAGGACTGTCTTTTAACACTGGTTCGACTCTGTACGACTCTGCTCGAGAGGTGTCCTGTCCAAATCGATGTCGAGGTAGCGTGTACTGGCTGTTGAAGGGTATATGATGGTGTGTTGGGCAAATGGGTGTATTAAGACAGTGAAGGTGTGTGCAAATTAGGATCGGGAGTTGTGTAGATTAGACCAAGAACCAGCTGGATGTTGTTTCGTTTGTTGTTACTCTGATATATTGTTGGAGATATCACAAGAATCGAGGCAAATGGGGTTTAGTAGATGGAGTGGGATGGGAGGATGGGTTGTTTAAGTATGTCAGGGCAGGCAAAGAAGCTTGTCGAGGGGGGGGGGGGGTAAGGTGGTGAGTGTGTGGTAGTGGTAGTGGTGGGTGGGTGTAGTGTGGATGGCAGCAGGCAAGCCTGGCAGGCATATCAGAGATCTCCCGAAGCAGAGTGTAATGGATGATCGAGCGTCAATCCACTCGATGATCCCTGGGCTGTGGCCCTGATCCTGACCCTGACCCTGGTCCTGACCGGTCCTGAACTTGGTCCTGACTGTAGGTGGGTAGCCCTGGTCGATGGTCGATGAACGATGGACCGGGGCAAAGGGGGGGGGGCGGAGAGGAGACAGTTGCCTGTCACAAATTGTGTGGGTCAGCCAGGTCTTGGGATGGTCGACGTTTTGGAGAGCTGGGATGAAGGCATGGAACATGGAGTATGGAGCCTGGAGCATGGCATGGAACGTGGAGCATAGAGCTTGGCTAAGCACCACACACTCGCACAATCTCTCTGACTGAGAAGAGTCTGGTGCGTTGCTCGTCCTGGCTTGGTTCCATGTGTGGTCCATGTCTCCTGGCCCGGGGGGCGGGAGGGCACGTACCTTGGCTATAGCGCCTCCTCTTAATGGGTATGGCGTAGGGGACCTCCCCCTCTGACTCGGGGGTTGATGGGATGTACGTACTTACAGCCCAAGAAGGGATGGAAGGGGGTGACAGGGTGTGTGGGTGTGTGGGTGTGTGCCGTCCTCCAAGATGCACCATCGATGCTCAGGTCAAGGTGAGGAGGGTGCGGGTGCAGGTGCAGGTGCAGGTGCAGCAGTGTGTGCCGTGGCGCTGCTGCTGGTCTGTAGGTACGTAGGTACGATACCTCACTTGCTGGCCGATATGGAAAGTCAAGTATGGGATATGTGGGACAGAACCAGTGCTCTGTGTGTTTTGATGTTGATGTGCCTGACGGAGGAGTGACAGTGGGACTGTTGTCTTGGTGCGTATGCCGTCTCGTTATGCTCTCGGGAGTCCGGAGGGAGAGGGACGGATGTTGAGATGAGCGTCGGGGATCCGTCGAGATCAAACGATTCTGATGTTCATGCGCAATGAGATTTGTTGCCCTCTGCGCTTAGGATGTGGTCAATGGGGATATGATGTGAAATGATGTGCTGTCTGGTTTCTCGGCCAGGTCAACCGATCCCTGCAGTGTGTACTTGGGTTTTATGAAAGAATCTCCTAGCATGAGAGCGAAACACTGCCCCATTTCATAGCTTTTGCCTCTGTCGACTGACAAAAGTTGCCTTATTTTAGCTCGAGTTATCGTAGCTGGAAACCAGTCGTTCGAGGACAAAGTGTCCATGTTTGCTTGCGTTGTAGACCGGGCTAGGTTTCTGTTAATGTCGCCCCCAGGTCGCTTCACACACCCCTCTGAACGCTGCTTTGGGCTTCTGGTACACGCCCCTCCCCCCCTTGTGATGGCCCCCAAAAATCCCAGAGTTGGAGCCCACAAATGATGAGATGGGCGCGGGCATGGGTGAGTAAGTGGGTGTCTAGGCCGAATCAAGAACTGCTATGCATGACCACACTCGGACCATCATTACCTGATCGGGGCCCTGTCGCCGTTCCGAAGCCTGGGATCTGCCATCCCTACCCCCTGGTCCTGTCATGAAGGCTTGTGTGTTTGGGACAGGGGCTGAGGTTCGAGCTTCGAGCTTCGAAATTCGAGGCTCGAGGCTCCAAGAGCAACAAGGGGGTTGCACTGAAGAATGGGAAGGCGAGCGGCCGGTTGAACTTGAGACGATCCAGGACTGGACTTCGTCTTGTCTCTGTCACTGGGAGAATGCAGCTTCACAATGCACCCGCCCTCAGCCCTGCAGACGCTCCGACCGGGTGTCTGGACCTGCCATTATGCCGACCCGCGTCGTTTGGCGCCTCGTGCCCTTCTTGCTTTGGGATCGTGAGAGGTGTCATCCCAAAGTCGCGTCTTCATGACGTTTTGGCCTTCGGACGACCCCATTCTGCGGACTATTCCTGGCCACGCCCAGCGTGAGGACCTCCATGCTCATCACCAGGAAGGCCTCTCTCTCTCTCTCGCTCTCTCTCTGTGTTCCCAGACCCATCGGTGACGTATCGTGACACTGCTTTAAGATCCGAGTCGCAGTGGAAAGGTGTGCTGGGCAGCCTTTTTCAACCCTCGGAACCAGGGTCAAGATGAATTCCCCGTTCCCGTCTCAGGCCTTGCCTACCAACCACTGGTTTCCCCCGACAAACAAGGCTATTTGCCCCAATCGCGCATCGCATAATGGAGAACAATTATGTTCCGGATTCGCAACAGGGTTCGTCGGCAAGCCTGGTGCCCTGATCGCCCGGCTTGCCTTAGATTCAGGCGCAAAGCAGAGTCAAAAAAAATGTTTCTTGCAGACGTCAGCTAGAAGACTATGCTAACAAGAAGGCGTCCACCATTAAACTCTCCCCCGAAGTTTCGATCGGAGAGGACACAGGTCGTCCGCCGGGCCCAATGTTGTGGAGGGGGCTTAATTTGCCCTGCTCCCTTCGTCGGACTGGTGCCGATACTTACCACAACGAGACAACAGCTCGTTGGTCGCGTTACAGAATGCCGAGCCTACTGACCACTGGAGTTCTACAGCACTACTGTTTGGTCTTCTGCTAGTAGGCGGTCCGTCGCCCGTGCAGTAGTCATTTCACGTTGACACGTCCGTCACGAGCGTCGGCTGGAGTCTAGCCTTTGTCTCCCGATGATCAATGGGGGTGTGGCCGGCGGCGGCGGCAAGGACGGCGTCGACGCCCCCTAGAGGAACGGTCGGCACTGAAGCGCGCAGCTTTTCGCCAGAACCAACATGGCTTGCGAGAACGGCGAGGGGCGCGGCGCCGCACATGGAGGCGTGCTGCCCAGCTCCAGCAACCCCTCGCCAGCAGGTAGGCACAAAGGCTAATTTCCAATGTGATCTTCGGTCCACGATGGATTAGCCTCGAGCGCGCCAGGAACGGCCTTTTCTCGCCTGGGCGCCGTGGCGTGAGCTAGACGCCCGCCCGCCCCCTTCCCTCCCCCAGGACTGGGAACCCCAGCAGCCGTGGGACGTCCCCCGCCCCTGGTGAACCAGAAGACTCCCAGGGCCAGGGCAAGGCCAAAGGCAACCAGACCAGACAAGACGAAGGCACGGCAAGGGTCTCGGAGACGAGGGGATCGTCTTGCGTCGAAGCAGAAAATTGAGGCTTCGGAAGACCGGGCGGGACCTTCTTCACACCATCCACCTGCTCACCAAACAAGTGTTCCCTCGGCCGCGGTGATCAGTGGACGATGGCATTGATATGGTCTGAAGCTCCGAGAGCCTCCTTTGCATCAGTTGAACCAAACTCTCGGTGGCAAGGCTACGATGCGAGGCAGGGGGGGTTACGAGGATAGGGTCCGTTCGCTGCTGAGGAAGGGATGACAGACCAGATTGACAAGTTTCGAGATTGACAGGTGATGTTCGATTGCGGGCTAGTACGGGGGGTGTGGCGGCAGTCCAGCGGCGGCGGCGAGCAGGCCCTAGTCCCGGCTGCCGGAGTGCAGGAGTCGAGGATGAAGGAGATGGCGCCAGGTGAGCGAGTTTTCCTCTTTGGCCCTCATCCCTCCCTGCCCTCCCAGTTCCCGCACTGGCTAGCCTGTTGCGTACAGGCTTGGCAGCCTCATGGCCGTTGAACAGGGCGAGAGCCAAAGAGAAAGAGAGGTCTTAGGGTCCTCGCGTTAGGCCTAGCTGCCAACATGACAAGTCAGGGCCAACCGCTGGTGGCCTTTCTAGCGTCTGCTCCTCCTGGGACGCCCTTCGGTCTCGGGTTCACAAGCATGTGATGATCGCCTGGTCATCTTAAGAGCCTGTCGATTTGTTTGTGGCTGCGCTAGGACAGCACTGTGAGCATCTCCAGGACAGCTTGATGTTTTGCCGGTCTGGTTTGGGTGGACATGGAAGGGGGGGTGCACGACAGACAGAGAGAGGCGATTTTTTATTTGTACAAAAGCATGAATTGGGACCCTCGACTGGGCATCATGTGCGCCTCGGGTTCTCACCAATCGGCAGCATGGCATGGCGATGATCTGGTAATCTCTGTTTGATGGATGCACTGTCCCCATGCTGGCTGGTTCCTGGCGACCTGAAGAGGGGCCGCTGCATGTTCACATGTAGGCCTGGAGCCTTGATGCTTGTCGGCTGATGATGATGGTCATGGCGGTAGCAAAGTACACTAACGTCATTCCTGGGCCAGACTCTACGAAATGCCCTTCGCCTCGGCCTCGACAGTCGACAGTTGTGGATGTCCATGCTATTACCGGTCAAGCACCAACGTAAAGATCACACATAGAGGGGAGAATCGAGATCAGCGCACATCCTATCAGGCGAGCGGCACAAGCTAGCTGATCCATAGCCTCAAAGTCAAAGGGGATCCAGACTTGTGCATGCAGCTCTGTCAGTCTCTCTCTCTCTCCTTCTCGGGGGGGCGGCTGTCCTCAAGCACGGCCACAATGAGGTTGCACGAGCTCGCTCGCTCCCTTGGGCCCAAGAACGCGCCGCAGCTCCGTCACGGGGCACTACTGCAGCTGCACTGCACTGCACTGCGAGTGCTGCACTACTTGCAACTCTGTCGTATTAG